TCTCTCTCTCTCTCTCTCTCTGTTTCCCGCCTCCTCTCCTCTTTCCCCCGGCTCGCGTGAGTGGGTAGGAATCCAGAGACCGCTTTTGGGCCTGTCGCGTACACAGCCTTGACTCTGCGCTGGTCTTGCACTTTTGTTATCGACGAAGGCCGAGCCGCTTCCCGAAGCTTGGCAGCTTTTCTCAATGCACGCCTCAACATGTTGCCAGCTCGAGCCACGACAAGTGTGGGCTTGGCGGGACTGGTGCGTCGTCTGACACGCGGGTCAGCCTTGACTCTGGTGCGTGGGGATGGCTGCATTGAGACGCCAACGAAAAGCACGCCTGCAGGCTGGGGTGCATCAATGCGTGCGAGCACGCCGACCTTGGCGCACGATTGTGGGTGGACGCCGTCGGTCGGGTTCAGCCCATCATCTCGCACGCCAGGTGACGATCGAGTCCAGCATGCACCGTATGCATGAGTGACGCCGACAATGCTGCGGTAGTTTCGAGGGTCGCGCAAGGTTTCAACAAGCGCAGCGGCAGGGACAGCGCGCGACTGAATTTAGAAGCAAGCACGCGCCGACACAGTTACAGTTACGATCCGAGGCTCAGGAGTGGGCACGAACGACACTCGAGCCAGGCGCTGGAGGAAAAGGGCAGAGTGAGTGAGGGAAATTCAGCGCCCGCTCCGAGTTTTTTGGGCAACTGCAGATGCGCTGCAGCTGTGCAGCAGCCGAGCGCAGGCTCAGTGGACCTCACTCACGTTGGGCTGCGAAATGCCAGCAAATGCGAGTCAGTCTCACAAATCGCATTCAAGAGAAGCTCTGTGCGCTTTTGGATGTCACGCGTCGGACACCGCCTCAACGCAGCTCGAATCCTCGGCTCGGCGCGAGTGAGTGGATCGATGGTGCTTTGCTCGGCATCCGCTGCCGTCAAACTTGCACGGCATGCTTCGCCCGCCGTTGCCCTGGAGATCGCCCCTTCCGCCCGCCCCTGAGCCTGCCGTCCTGAGACAATCCACACCTTCCGCCGCCGCTCGTGTGTTGTGTGCCCTCGACATGCTCAAGTTGTCGCCATCGCCCTAGACGCTGAGTTACTTCCTTTCCATCATCTCTGATCACCTTTCACCCTTTCGGACCCCGGAAACACATTTCTCATCACCATGGTCAAGTTCTCGCTCGCTGCTGCTGTGCCTCTCGCACTCGCAGCCGTTGCTGCCGCCAAGCCCGACTTTGAGCGCCGTCAGGCTGCCTCCGGCTCGGGCACGCGCTCGTCTGCGTCGGGCACCGCATCCGCCGCTGGCGCTGCTGCTCCTACGTCCACCTTCACCGGCACGCTTCCAGCCTCCGTCTCGTCGCTTCTCGCCGGCGTCTCGTCCGGCCCGGGCGTCACCACCTCTACCACCTCGCTCTTCACCACCTACGCCGCCGGTGCCAAGAACCCGCAGGTGACCGGCGCTCCCGGCCTGCCGGATGTCAACACCATCGCGCCCTCGAGCTTCCCTGCGCTCGACGTCATTCCCCCGACCGACTCGGCGCAGGTGCAGAGGTGGATCTCGCAGATCGACTGGTCCAAGGTGCCCAACGTCACCACCACCGTCGACTCGGCCTCGTGCAGCGGCAACCCCACCAACCTCGCACAGGCCGGCGCCAACGGCAACTGCTGGTGGACGTGCGGGCAGTGCACGCGTTCCACCGACATCACCACCTGCCCCGACGTCAACACCTGGGGTCTCTCGTACGATGACGGCCCGTCGCCCTACACGCCCACTCTGCTGCAGTACCTCAACCAGAACAACCTCAAATCGACCTTCTTCGTGGTGGGCTCTCGCGTGATCTCGCGTCCTCAGATGCTACAGACCGAGTTCCAGCAGGGTCACCAGATCTCGGTGCACACCTGGTCGCACCACGCGCTCACCACGCTCACCAACGAGCAGATCGTCGCCGAGCTTGGCTGGAGCAAGGAGGTGATCCGCTCGGTCATCGGCGTCACGCCCAACACCATGCGCCCTCCCTACGGCGACATTGACGACCGTGTGCGTGCCATCTCGCTCCAGATGGGCCTCACGCCGATCATCTGGACCACTCCCCCCGGCGGCAACCCGTACGACACCAACGACTGGAAGATCGCCGCCGGCGTCGTCTCGCCCGCCGAAGTGGTGTACAACTTTGAGTCGATCATCAAGAACGCCTCGTCGCTCTCCACCGGCTACATTGTGCTTGCGCACGACCTCTACCAGCAGGCCGTCGACATTGCCGTCAACATTGTGCTGCCTGCCGCGCAGCAGATGAGCCCCAAGCAGAACCTCATGCCAATTGTGCAGTGCCTCAAGAAGCCCGCCTCGGACGCCTACGTTGAGACATACGCCAACAGCTCGGGTTCGCTGCCCAACGAGGTAGGCACTTCGGGCACCCACTCGCTCACCGCCACCCAGGCTGCTGCCGGCTCGCTCGCCACCGCCACTGGCAGCAGCTCGGGCTCGGGCTCGGGCTCGGGCTCCTCGGGCGCGTCGATGGGTTCGGTCCCCTCGTTCGTGCTGCCGACCGCTGTGCTCGGTCTGGTGATGCTCAGCTTTGGCCTGCTCGTCTAAGCTCGATTTGGCGTCCCTTTTCTCCCCGGATAGATCCACCCGAGTTCGGCATCAGGGCCGGAACATTTGCTACCCTCATCGGACAATCTTCTCCTTTCCTTGCGCGTTTGCGCAACGCCTCGTCGCCGCAGAGGATTCGTGCCTGGCGTCGATCCTTGTGTTGCGGTGGCAGGCGTTGCACCCGAGCCAAATTAGCTTTCCACTCGGCTGAATGCTAGTTGAATTGCTTCTGACAGTCAGTGTCTGTGCCTGTGCCCTTGTCCGGCGTCAGCGAAAGTCAGTGAAGGCAGAACAGCATGTGGGCGTATGGAAGATAGATTCGAAGCGTGTTAGCACTTGGCCGTCCACATAGAGTTCGACTTTTTGGGCCCAGCCTCCACTTTGCTGGTGGTGGATGAATTGGCCAACACTCGGCGAGGCGCGCTTTTTGGTGGAAATGGGCTCATTCCATGCAGCCAAATATGCGCTCGGCCCCTAGCAGAGAGAGTCGAGTGCCGACTGGCAGCAGTGAAGCGGCACTGATGCTCTTGTGCACGGCTCGGCCTTCGCTCCCATCTTTCAACCTCGCCGCCGCCCGATACGTTGCGGCCAGTCACGCCTCCATACTTGCCCACTCCGCGTCGGCTTGACGCAGCTGCCATCATGTTCAAGGCCATCTTCTCATCATCGAGCAGCTCCAAGGAGCAGAATAGCAAGAGCGATTCGCGACCGTCGTCGGCCTCCTCGTCCAAACACAAGCAAAGCGCATCACCTTCATCCTCGCCCACCATGGACTCGCTGCCGCTCCTACCTTCGCGTGCCTCTAGCTCAGCAATGGCTGCTTGGACCATTCCGCCCTTTCCTCATCCGCTTCCCGAGCGTCGTATCGGCATACTACCCACGGAGCAAGGGCTGCTAGTTTATCCACGCAGCTCTACACATGTGGCAGGCAATCGCCATCATCCTATCCACCACGTCAAGGCAAGCACCGCGGCTGCCCCCGCCGCCAACTCGTCCAATCGGCCGTACGGTTCAGGAGATGGCTTCAAGGTCGCAACCATCGGCGCTTCCCATGCGCCTTCGTCTAGCACCTCGGCCGCTCCAGTCGCCGCTACCGGTGCACTTCCGTCCCTCACTTCACTCGATGTCGGCTTCCTCATCGACTGGACCAGGGAAGCCAAGATCACTCCGTTGGCTCCCCCTGCATGGTCATCCCTCTTGGACAGCGCCTCCTCAGATGAGCCGACGTTGGAGTGCTCCGGCATCATCGGTCTTTCCTGCTTCTTCAACAGCAGCTATCTGTTTGTCATCACCGACTCCAAGCTGATCGGCCACTACTTCCACGATACTCGCCCCATCTACTGCTGCACCGGCGTGCTTGCCATCCCGCTCCTGCAGCAGGAAGCTACGCAAGCCATCCGTGCTCAGTTGACAAAGCAAGGCAGCCCACCCACACCATCCGTCCAATCCTCATCGCACAGGGACGATGCCGATGTCTCTGACTCAAAGGACCAATCGGACTCCGAGAGCGAGGGCGACACCGAGTCGAGCGAATCTGACTATGACGACGTTGAAACTCCGGCTGCTATCCCGAGGGAGCCGTTCTTTTCGTCGCTCCCGGCCTCGCAACGCAGCGACACTTTGCGTGTGCCCAAGTCACGGCCCTGGCTTACGCGTGCCGCTCGAGCCGTTTCAGATAGCCGCATCGAGACCATCTCCGAGGATGCAGATACGCAGGCCAAGCTGGCAGATGCTTCCGTCCATGCCGTCGACATGACTGACGAGCCGGAAGTCATCCCAATCCCAGACCCCGTTGTCGACGCAGAAGTTCACGACACGTCAGCTGTCGCTGCCACCCCCGACGAACAGTGGCATGCCGCCAAGCAAGCTGAGCTCGAGGACAAGGCTGTCAGAGAGACAGCCAAGTACTGGGCTCGCGGCGAGTTCTGGTTCAGTTACGACTTTGATCTCACCACGTCGCTGCAGAACAAGCGGCGTGCGCTCGACAAGTCAGCGCGCTCTGATTCAGGCGCCGCGCCGCGCTCGATGCCACGGCCGCTGCATCCCACGCAGGGTTCAGCCAGCGACGCTTCCGACTCGACCACGCACTTCCCTTTGCTTGCCGAGCCCTATCCAAACCTTCCGCTTTGGCGCAGAGCAGATCGACGGTTCTGGCACAACGAGCACATGTCCAGAGATTTCGTCCACGCCGGCCTGCATGCCTATATCCTTCCGGTCATGCAAGGCTATCTGCAAACGGTTAGTCTACCGGTGCGCCCGCAGGATGCGCCCGAAGCATACACAGCGTCGACCGAGGCCAAGGTCGACGAGCCGGTGGTGCGCTGTCAATTGATGGTCATCTCGCGCCGCTCCAAGGAGAGGGCAGGCCTGCGCTATCAACGCAGAGGCATCAACGAGGCGGGCCAGGTGGCCAACTTTGTCGAGACCGAACAGCTGGTGTACGTGCTACGCAGTCGTGCGGGTGTGGCATCTGCTAGCGAAGTGGTCGCGGATGCTCTTTCATTTGTGCAGATCCGAGGCTCGATCCCGCTCTACTGGTCCCAGAGCCCCTTCTCGCTCAAGCCACCGCCGGTGCTCGAGCGCACCGAGGTGGAGAACCTTGACGCAAGCCGGAAGCACTTTGGCGTGCAGGTCGACCGTTATGGCTCTATCACGTGCATCAACCTGGCAGAACAGGGTGGGAAAGAAGGTGCCATCTCAAAAGCATACCGAGCTGCAGCGGAGAAGTTGCGGGACGAAGACGTGGCCGGAGGCAGCGGCAAGACGTGGGACCGCAAGAAGGTTCACTATGTCGACTTTGACTTCCACAAGGAGTGCTCGGGCATGCGTTTCGAGAACGTCGCCAAGCTCATTGCGCAGATGGAGCCGACGCTGGCGCAGATGAAGTATTACCATCATCGCAGCGTCGGTGCTGCCAAAGCCGATGTGGAGGTGCTCAACATGCAGACGGGAGTGTTCCGCGTTTCGTGCCTCGACTGCCTGGACCGCACAAACGTCGTGCAGTCCGCCTTTGCCAGGCATGTGCTGACTGGCCAGTTTGCTAAGCTCGGCATTCGAGTGGGCGACTCCGTTTCTTCGTCCGCATCTGCCGCCGAGACAGCAACCTAGTGAAGCGATCATCTCGCCCCATTTTGGAACGATCTACCGTCCTGTCTCAAGAATGATACCCTCCATCACGGCTTCGTGTGAGAATATGCTTTGTGATCATGTGCAAGCATCGCGCTTCTGAGCCGAACAGAAGGAACAGCGTTTCGCAAATGCGCTGAGTGTCCGACTGCGCGAGGAGTGTCAGCCGGGATTGGGTATACAAAGCCATAGCAGGGAGAATGGTGTTGGCTAGAGCCAGAGTCGGCGCTTGAGGCCCTCGATCAGCGGTCCGAAGAGAGGCATCATAGCCTTGGCTTCGTCCAGACTGTAAGAGGCAGGGAAGAAGTGTGTCAGTATCGTGCTCTCGATGTCAAATGGAGATGAGGCTGGTGCGCACCTCTGAATGGTCTTGCTCGTGACGAATGGTTCCTCCTCATCCTCTTGGTCCGGATCATAGGCGCCTGCGTCTGCACAGCATTCGCACAGCAGCTCTACAATCCTCGCCACTTTGCGTTTGGACGAGACAGGCCCATCGTCGTCGTCATCCGCGGCAGCTGCCGCAGTGCTGCGGTTGCTCGGCGCCGTGCCCAACGAGCCGCCTTTGACCGTGTGGTAAAGATGGCGCGAACGCATGGTCGCGCTCGAGTCTGCTGCTGCCGCATCCTCGACCTCGTCCGAGATGGCGCGGAACGCAAAGATGCGTCTGGCAGCGTCGGCAGCGTGTGCGGACGAAGCGGTCGCCGCTGTGGTGGTGAGGTTCTTGATGGACGCCGTCGTGTTGCTCCGCGAGATCGAATTGAGGTAGGTCACCACGACGCCCCAGTTGTCTTCGGGATGTGACGACTCGTGCGGCGACGTCACATACAGCCCTGTAGTATGAACGCAAATCAATGGTCAGAGCCGAACTCTGCAAGCTTCCAATGGTGTGGCGGGGGGGCCG